ATATATTTTGAACTCTTGGCAAGAAAACTCAGATTTTTGTAACAAGTTGTGAGCTTGCATCCATCTTTCAATGATCATGTTCTTCATATTCTTCAAAGGAAAACCCAGATTTTTCCTGACCTATATGGTTTGCTTCGTTTTGCGTGTAGAACCCTCTAATGTTGTCGGAATATGTATTTGATGTCTTTTAATATGTATAAATTCCTTCGAAGTAAAATGAAACAGAAAGTGATTTAATATGGAAAGGGGATTAAAGTGTGTAAGGTTGAATGTGTGCAGGGCACACTCCGGGAAGAACAAGCACGTCGTCGCAACACTGTGAGTAGTAGTATCATTATCTTCCTTACACATGCATAATGATTTTCATTAGCATTTCGCTTACGTGACTATGTTAATGTCTCAAGCACGCAACTAAGATTAATGTTTCAAGTGTGTAAGTATGTATGTTAATGCTCAAGTATACTCCAAGTATGTAATGAATGAAATAAGAAAGATGACGCACCTATGTTCTATAAGACTCTAGGCCTATGGCCATTCAAGATAAGTTATCAAGATATGGAACAAAGTGCTACACGGAACTAAGTGCTACGACGTGAGCCACCTCTAGAATCCGTGTGAGACACCTCTTGAGTCCGTATAAGTATACTTTCAAGGGCTTTACGCCACTTTCAAGGGCTTTAATGCCAACAAGTACAAGGGCCTTGTGCCACATGTTTCAAGGGCCTTAGTGCCATATGTTACAAGGGCTTTATGCCACCATGTTTAAGGGCCTTGTGCCACTATGTTCAAGGGCATTATGCCACCATGTTAAGGGCTTCAAGCTGTTATGAATTAAGAATATGATATATCAAGCTTTTATGTTCAGGTATGGGCCTAAGGCCGATATAAGATGCATACAGAATCAGGCTACTTTTGGAATCTCTGCATTCACACATATAATGTTATAAGTCATGTTCAAATTGAGCATCACTTCATTATGTATTACTATTCACTGAGCCCGGCTCACTCTCTGTTATGTCTGTTTCTGTAGGCAATCAACCAGGTGGTCAATCCTAACCTATGATGCCCGGTTCCTTTTGACAACCTTCGTGTATCCAAGCACTCACAGGGCCACCCATTTTGTGAAGTTTACTAAGTTAATTGGCTTATTTCTTGGCTACCTTTCCAAGGTTGATAGTGTATAACTCCAATAGTTTTGTTGCATGCCCGACTATAGGGCTGGGTCTGTATATGTGTTTATAAATATATCTTTTGCTAAGGAATATTTTTGGATTCTATTAACTCCTTATGGTGCATGTAACGTATGAGATCCTGGCATGTTAGAAATAGCTCAATGGAATTTGTTTGGTTTTGTATTCTTGTACGTTTGTGTGCTTCCGTCAAAGCCCCATATACTATATGTATACCAGGTTATATGTCTGTTTGGAATGGGTCATGCCCGAACTTTTAGGGGCGAGTTGGGGGCGTGACAGTAACTTACTGATAGTTTACTTAGTAATTTACTGGGAATTTGCTGAGAATTTACTATGAATTTACTAAGTAATTTACAAAGAATTTAATGAGAATTTACTGTGAATTTACTGAGTAATTTTCTAAGATGCCCGAACTTTTAGGGGCGAGTTGGGGGCGTGACAGTAACTTACTGATAGTTTACTTAGTAATTTACTGGGAATTTGCTGAGAATTTACTATGAATTTACTAAGTAATTTACAAAGAATTTAATGAGAATTTATGACAAATTTACTGAGTAATTTTCTAAGTGATGTACTGAGTAATTTAGTGAGAATTTATAGAAAATTTACTGAGTAATTTATCGAGAATTTACTGAATAATTTAGCGTGAATTTTCTGAGAATTTTTTTGAGTAATTTATTGAGAATTTGCTAAATAATTTATTGGGAATTTACTGAGTAATTTACTAAATAATTTACTGATAATTACTGAAAATTTACGGAGTAACTTTTTCACAATTTACTTAGTAATTTATTGAGAATTTACTGACAATTTATTGAGAATTTACATGAAATTTACTAAGTAATTTACAGAGAATTTACTGACAATATAATGCGAATTTACTGGGAATTTACTGAGTACTTTACTGAGAATTTACTAGGAATTTATTGAGTAAGTTATGGTGAATTTACTTAGTAATTTACTGAGTAATTTATTGAGAATTTACTGGGAATTTACTGAGTAAGTTACTGAGAATTTACTATGTAGTTTTCTCAGTAATTTACTGAGAATATACAGAGTAAGTTACTAACAATTTACTGGGTATTTACTGAGTAATTTATTGGGAATTCACTAAGTAATTTACTGAGAATTTACTAGAAATTTACCGAGTAATTTACTAAGAATTTACATTGTAATTTACTAGGTAATTTACTGAGAATTTACAGAGTAATTTGCTAAGTAATTTATAAAGTAACTTACTGAGTAATTTACTAAGAAGTTACTGCAAATTTACTAAGTAATTTACTAAGAATTTACTACGAATGTACTATGTAATTTACTGAGAATTTACTGGGAATTTGCTGAGTAATGTTCAGAAAATTTACTGAGTAATTTACATAAAATTTACTTTGAATTTACTGGGAATTTATTGAACAAGTTTCTGAGCATTTACAAAGCAGTTTCCTGCGTAATTTACTGAGAGTTTACAGAGAATTTACGTCGAATTTACTGAGTAATTTACTTGGAATTTACGAAGAATTTACTTGCAATTTATTGGGAATTTACTTCGAATTTAATGGCAATTTACTTAGTACTTTACTGAGAATTTATGAAGAATTTACTTCGAATTTAATGGGAATTTACTGAGTAATTTTCTTCGAATGTACTGAGAATTTACATAGTACTTTACAGAGAATTTACGGAGAATTTACTTAGAATTTTCGATGAATTTATTGACAACTTACTGAGTAATTTACTAAGAATTTACATAAAATTTATGGGGAATTTATTGAGTGCTTTACTGAGAATTTATGGGGAATTTATTGAAAATTTACTAAGAATTTACTGAGTAATTTACAGAGAATTTACTTAGAATTTATTGGAAATTTGGTGAGTAATTTATAGAGTAATTTACTGAGTAATTTACTAAAAATTTATTGTGTAATTTACTTAGAATTTACTTGAAATTTACTGAGTAATTTATTGTGAATTTATTGAGTAATTTACTCATTAATTTACTGAGAATTTACTGAGTAATTTACTTAGAATTACTGATAATTTACTAGGATTGTGATTAATAATTTACTGAGAATTTACTAAATAATTTGTTGGGAATTTATTGAGTAATTTATTTAGTAATGTACTGAGAATTTATCGAGTAATTTGCGGTGTAATTTGTAGAGAAATTTACTAGAATTTACTGAGTAATTTACTAAAAATTTATTGGCAATTTATTGATTAATTCACTACGAATTTACTAATTCACTACGAATTTACTAATTAATTTACTGATCAATTCATTGAGTAATTTAATGAGAATTTACTAGGAAGTTACTAGGTAATTTACTGGGAATTTACTTGGAATTTACTAAGTAATTTACTGAGAATTTACGGGGAATTTACTGAGTAATTTACTAAGAATTTGTTGGCACTACTACAAAAACAGATAAAGATCACACTTTTTTGGTGTGATGTATGTTATTTAATCACACCTTTTAAGTTTTATTAAAGTGTGATCTTTGGAAGTGTGATTAAAAATTCCAAAGATCACACTTAAAAGGTGTGATCTAAATGTTTTTAATCACACTTAAAAAATGTGATTAAAAATGGTCATTTTTAATCACATTTTTTAAGTGTGATTGACCATTTTTAATCACACTTTTTAAGTGTGATTAAAAACATTTAGATCACATCTTTTAAGTGTGATCTTTGAAAGTGTGATTAAAAATGGTCATTTTTAATCACACTTTTTAAGTGTGATTAAAAACATTTAGATCACACCTTTTAAGTGTGATCTTTGGAAGTGTGATTAAAAAGAGTCATTTTTAATCACATTTTTTAAGTGTGATTAATAACATTTAGATTACGCCTTTTAAGTGTGATCTTTGAAAGTGTAATTAATAACATTTAGATCACACATTTTAAGTGTGATTAATAACTAATAAAATCTGTAATAAAAAAAGGGTTCGACATATTTAAAAAATAATCAATATTATTTTTTTATGCACATTTGAAATATTTAATACACACTATATACTATATTTTGAATCATAACCACATATTGAATAGAATAACGTCATATATTTCATAAATGAAAATTAAATATTCAAAAGTATATACAAAGGAATTAAATTATAAAAAAAATTAACTGTGCTTACATATATTAAAAAATGAAAAAACTTAAAAAAACTAAGTTCTTTAATTCTTGGACCATATTTTGCAACAGTAATAATAATATACCTTCACAAAAAGATCGTACACAAGCTGTATTGAGATTTATCATTTTTAAATATTGTGCTCATTAGTGACCTCCTAATTACAATGTCATTGACACTGAGCTGCTATGGCATCTAATTGTTAACAAGAAAGTTACTTCCAAAAGGATTAAGATCAAGCAGAAATGATTAATTTTCTGTTTGATCTTAATCCTTTTGGAAGTAACTTCCCTGTTAACAATTAGATGCCATAGCAGCTCAGTGTCAATGACATTGTAATTAGGAGGTCACTAATGAGCACAGTATTTAAAAATGATAAATCTCAATACAGCTTGTGTACGATCTTTTTGTGAAGGTATATTATTATTACTGTTGAACCATAATTCTAGGTACCCATAAATAAATAAAAACTCAAGAATTTACTCCTTTTTTTTTGGGGGGGGTGGGGGGAGGAGGGAGAGTACATACATTGCAGTTACTATCACCAGCAGTAGCAGGTTTTGGAGAAGCAGAGGCTGTATTTATGAAAAGAATTCATCAGAGCTTCTAAATACACTCGCTTATTTTCTCTCTACACTCCCTATATGTATTGTATATCTTGTATGTTACAAAGAAAAATTTGTGAATATAGGTGTAGAGATAAACATGGTGGGTGTGTGGTGGGTTTAGAAACTCCCAATTGCATCATTAAAACGAGGATTATGTGTATATATATGTTGTTGACACTAATTAATATTCCTAACACTCTGTTCAAAAATAAAATGAAAATGAGAGCACACATAATCAACAAAACTTGTTACCACAGTTGTGAAAAAGCAATAATTGAGAGAAAATTTTCAACTTCCACACCAATCAATTTTTTCTAAACACAAATCAACAAATAAATACACAATTTAGTGGACAGCCCAGAAAAATCTAAGATTAACAAATATTGATGCACAAGTTGTCAATAAAGGACCACCCATATTATAAACACCCAAATTCAAAGATTCAGGTTGGTAGGTAGGCCAAATATAAAGCATGAACAATATTTTTCATGCTGTAAAAGAGAACATTCTGATGTATCTTTTAAAGCAAAAGATTAAATTTATGTCCTAACACTGCAATCTTTTAACTGAAAGATTCAAAATAGCACAAAGCAAAAAAATACAGGGAAAAAAAAAATTACAAAACAACAACAACGAGGAGCTTTGAAGCCAAGCATAACAAATTAATGATACTTACTAGTTATCATCCCAGCCCACCACCAAGGTTCCAACAAATATGAGTACCCCCCTGACCCTGAACAAAATGACGACACGATGGTTACAATAACATAAAAGATTTATATACACATCTCCACGCATATGCGTTCATGTAAGTACTTCTATGTCTTTTGATGGGCATATGTGTATATATTATTATATAAAGTGTATAAGTCAGTTGATGTGAACACTTTCTCCGTCACGCCTATTTGATTTTTCAAAAATGCCTACAACAATTGGTAAGTTTAAAAATTGTCATGTGAAACTGATTTAGAAATTTAAAACTCTATTCATCATCTTCGTTCATAAACTATGTATCTTTGCACAAGCATTGTGTGTACACTCAAAGGTTCTACAAAGACCAAAATAATAAATAGAGCACCAAGTTTGGACTTCTAACCCTGTATGTCATCCATAATCACCAAGAAGAAGAAAGCACGGTGCAAATTCATATTGTTTACCTTTCACATGTCTTGGTCCATTATGCTTATTGTGGGGTAGCAGCTTCTTAACATTGTAATGCCAGTGATGATAGTCAAGAGCATGAAGGACACCCCGCACGCAGCCCAGCTGATTATTCGCAATTTGCTCATCAGCATCTTCGGTCCACAAGTGTTTTCCCATTTACAACACTACAAGCAAAATCCTTGAAAACTCACTTGCTAAAGGAATTCAGTGACTATCTTCTTCAATCTAATAGACATAATTAAGAAAATACCATGTAAATAGATATGTTGATTGCCTAGCATATGAAATTCAGAAAATAAATTCCAAATTACTAGCAGCTCAAATCACATAAAGCTTGTCAAAAATCTTAGACAGAACAAAAATCACACACCATGTGAGCAAGGCTTTGACACAGTGTTTTCCCATTTACAACACTACAAGCAAAATCCTTGAAAACTCACTTGCTAAAGGAATTCAGTGACTATCTTCTTCAATCTAATAGACATAATTAAGAAAATACCATGTAAATAAATATGTTGATTGCCTAGCATATGAAATTCAGAAAATAAATTCCAAATTACTAGCAGCTCAAATCACATAAAGCTTGTCAAAAATCTTAGATAGAACAAAAATCAAACACCATGTGAGCAAGGCTTTGATACAACCTTTTCAGGTACCTTGTACAAAATCCAAGCAGCAGCATCACTTATTACAAAATACCCATGTCTAAAAATGGCAATTTTTTATTTCATTTTTCAATTATTTTTTCGTTGTTGGAAATTGCCTGTAAATTTATACAATTACAAAAAATTCTGACAGTATGCTTAGCCAACCCAAACGAAAAATTCTTCATCAGTTCTTCAATATCATTCATGATACGAGCAAAACAGGAAATCACAAAGATCACGAGAATTGAGTGAAAAGGAAAAATGTTGGGAACTTCTTTCTTAAGTACAGCGTTGGAATAGGACTTTTGAAAGAATAGAAAAGTTGTTATTCAATTTTTCAAACCAACACTTTATTTAAACGCTGTTTTATTCCATGAAAAAGCCAACTTCAGTTCAGCAAATGAGTGACAACTGAACCATGTTAATGGCAGGGCAAGTTTCTATATCATAGATTCATATTGAAATAATTGACATACCGAGATAAGATAAACGGCACCACAAGCAAGAAACATGTAGCTTGCTATGTTTTGGAGAAGAATGAGCTCCTTCCGTTCCCCAGAGTCCTCAGGGTAAGTTCTTGTCATCACTGCAACACTGAAAGTAACAATAGTGACCTATGATTCACAAACAGAACTAAAATTTCACTAAAATGTCCGATTGTTTCACTGAAAGTTTCCATCAATGATTAAATAGTTTCGTGATAATTCAGTTCTTTTTTCTTTTTCCTTTTCTTGGTAGTGATAATTCAGCTCACATATAGCTTCTTACAGCATCTCCAGCAAGGCTAGTTAAAATAGCTATTTAAAACTTCACTTTACTATTTTAGCTAGTCATTTTTTTAATATACACTCCAACAAGGCTATCTACTTTAGCTATCTTCTATTAAAATATTCTTATACTTTCACTACCTTCTTTCCAATCTAAAAAAACAAAAAAAACTAACTTCTTTTGCAGTGCTGGAAATAGGAGCAAACCATATATTCACAATTGAAAAAATTAAGAATAAAGCAGCTGGAAATAGGATGCTCATCACCACTTCATTCATCAATTCCATGGCTGAATCAGCACAAACCCTCAATTTCTTGTGTTCCATTGCTTTTGCAGTGCTACTCATCACCACCATCATCACCACCATTAGTCCAATTAATGATATGATTAAAACATTATAGATGGGGAATTAAGTTAAATTTACCTTTCTAAAAGCTGCACCTTTTGCTTAGGTTTTGTCCCATGGATAACTTGAAAGGAGGAGCTAACAATCTCTTCTATGTGAGCTGATTGCAGAAGCCTCAAATCTCTCCTCACCTAACATCACATGAATATGATAAACTAAGATTAAAAAGACAATTACATGCATTACATATATTTATGTACCTATTTGCACATATTTGCTCATAGGGAATAACAACCTTTAGAAGGTACTGAAAATATGAGCATCGTCGGTGCTGATTCTTGTTTTTGTATACAATTCTATCAACAATTTCAATCTCTGAACCCATATATTCACCTGTTCAGGAATATATTGCACCAATGTGACCAAACACAAAGCTAATTTCCTTTAAGGAAAAGAAAAAGAAAAACAACAACAGATATTGATGTCAACTGAAATTGGAATAGGTTCTAGTACGAGATCAGTTCATCTAAATATGAACTATAACACTATTTTTTCTCTTTTTTTTCCTTTTCTTCTAATGTTCTAGCAACAAAATCTCTCTCTCCCTCTCCCTCTCTCTATATATATATATATATATAAATATGAATTTGAGTGTATTTGGGTTCTCCTCTAATGAATGCCAAACAGGGATCTTGAGCAGTGCCTCTCAAGACTCACTGGTTGTTCCTCTTTTTTTATGCTAGCAAATTCTTTGATTCTTGAATTCATGGATTCTATCAAATTCTCTATAAAATCTCACTCAGTTCTGTTTTTTTTGTTTTATAATTTCCTAGATGCATTTATGTTTTTCTTATAGAAGTCCATATATTTGATTCATGACATCTTATCAAAAGTGAATAGACAAGAGAAATCAAATAGAATCTTGTGTGTGATACAACTTAAGCAACCAAAACATACATAGGTTACCATAAATCTATCCTTCGGTGTGTTCAAATGTCTAAATAAACCAATGTACCATTTTTTTCACTTCTATAATTGTACCTAATATTTGATATCATTAATTCTAATAAATTGCCACAATTTTTCACTAACACTTCAGTCTAGAGAGCACTGAATCTGAAGATTTCAACTCACCAAATGGCAAAATTGAAGAGAAGTCTCACTTGGTTATGAAAGAACTATCTAGGTTCCAGGTTTTTTCAAAGCAATTATTCCAAAAGAGTGCACACTGCATATATAATAACAGAACTATTTCAATGGAGTTGAAGCATGTCTTTTCTTATTTATATCTTCTCTTACCGTAATAAGAAATGTAGTGAAAGATAATTATTATTTCCAAAATAATTAAATAGGCATGGGAGAAGTTGAAAATGGGTGATAATTATTATTTCCAAAATAATTAAATAGGCATGGGAGAAGTTGAAAATGGGTGATAATTATTATTTCCAAAATAATTAAATAGGCATGGGAGAAGTTGAAAATGGGTGATAATTATTATTTCCAAAATAATTAAATAGGCATGGGAGAAGTTGAAAATGGGTGATAATTATTATTTCCAAAATAATTAAATAGGCATGGGAGAAGTTGAAAATGGTGTATATGAGAGAAGTCAAAAAGACTTGGGAGAAGTCAATAAATGCTAAGTTTTTTGTTTAAATCAAAAAATTAGGAAATTAAGATTGAGGTATTGGAGGTCTCACAATGCTTGTGAGTTAAAAATCCTATTTTTCTTATATAATACTAGCATATTACTCGTGCTATGCACGGATTGTGTTTACAATTATCTATATCTGTGAATTGTGATTTTTAAATTTTTTTATTTTTTTTAAATGTCTTCTTTTTTTTCCTTTTTTATATTATATTAAAGTTTAATATTTTGATAATAATCATATGTGTTGGACTTTTCAAAGAATTAAAAGTCTTTTTATTATTATTTTATTATATTAAAGTTTAATATTTTGATAATAATCATATGTGTTGGACTTTTCAAGAATTTTTTTTTTATGCTTGTTCTTAATGTATTAAAGTATTAGTACGAGGGATAATAATCATATATGTTGGGATTTTTCAAAGAATTCATGTGTCGGATTTCAAAGAATTTTTTTTTATACTTCTTCTTAATGCATTAAAGTGTTATTATGAGAGTAAAACTTGGGAGTTGGGAGAAGTTAATAAATGCAAAGGTTTTTTTTTTTTAAATCAAAAAATCAAGAAATTTAGATTGGGAGATTGGAGCTCCCACAAGGCTTGGGGTTAAAAACTCCATTTTGCTTAACATATAGTATAGATATATATGTGAATTGTGATTTTTAAATTTTTTTATTTTTTTTAAATGTCTTCTTTTTTTCCTTTTTTATATGATATTAAAGTTTAATATTTTGATAATAATCATATGTGTTAGACTTTTCAAATAATTAAATGTCTTTTTTTATTATTATTATATTATATTAAAGTTTAATATTTTAATAATAATCATATGTGTTGAACTTTTCAAAAAAAAAAAATTATGCTTGTTCTTAATGTATTAAAGTGTTATTATGAGGGATAATAATCATATGTGTTCGGACTTTTCAAAGAATTCATATGTGTTGGATTTCAAAGAATTTTTTTTATACTTGTTCTTAATGCATTAAAGTGTTATTATGAGAGTAAGACTTGGGAGTTGGGAGAAATTAATAAATGCAACGATTTTTTTTTTTTTCAAATCAAAAAATCAGGAAATTTAGATTGGGAGATTGGAGCTCCCACAAGGCTTGAGGTTAAAAATTCCCTTTTGCTTAATATATAGTGTAGATAGATAGTATAGATATTAAATTTTTGTAATAATAAAAATAAAAAAGAAAGAAAGAGAAAATAATATAAAAATGACGATAATATGTGTATGTATGTATGTATGTATATGTATATACACTTGTTGTGGTGGTGGCAATACGTGAGAGTGCAGAATGAAGGTTTAGTTTTTGTGGATTCTACTTTTTGTAATTAGGGTTTTAGGTGGATCGGGTTAGATTGTGTTGTCATGACCCGTCAAGGTTTGGATCGGGTAAACAATGGGTTAGGGTTTTTTTTTTTTTTGGTTCACGGTCAAAATTTACACTAAAGTCTCGTTTGACAATTATATGTTTTAATTAAAAAATTACTATACGTGATTACATCACTCTTTTTACTTTTTCACAAATCTTTTTTTAAAAAGTTAAAAAATTACTAAAATAATTTGTTCCCAAACGAGGGTTTAGAGGGAAAATAATGCACGGATTGTGTTTACAGTTATCTATATATGTGAATTGCGATTTTTAAATATCTTTCTTTTTTTTTAAATATCTTATTTTTTTCCTTTTTTTAAATTATATTAAAGTTTAATATTTTGATAATAATCATATGTGTTAAACTTTTCAAGTAATTAAATGTCTTTTTTTTATTATATTATATTAAAGTTTAATATTTTGATAATAATCATATGTGTTGGACTTTTTAAGAAATTTTTTTTATGCTTGTTCTTAATGCATTAAAATGTTATTATGAGGGATAATAATCATATGTGTTGGAACTTTTCAAGGAAATCATGTGTTGGATTTCAAAGAATTTTTTTTATGTTTGTTCTTAATGCATTAAAGTGTTATTATGAGGGTAAGACTTGGGGATTGGGAGAAGTTAATAAATGCTAAGGTTTTTTTTTTTAATCAAAAAATCAAGAAATTTAGATTGGGAGATTGGAGCTCCCACAAGGCTTGGGATTAAAAACCCCCTTTTACTTAATATATAGTATAGATAGATAATAACTAGCCTATCACCCGTGCTATGCACGGGATAATTATAGATATTTATATTTGTTTTAGATTTTTTTTAATATATAAATTATGTTTTTAAAGATTTTTTATAAAAATAATTTAACAATCTTATCACTAACCATAGTGTATGAGAGAAGTTGAAAATGATACTGCAGTAACTATATACAGATTGTATCTATAATTATTTGTATGAGAGGATTTTAAATGCTGATCAGAGAATTTTGACCAAATCAATAAATGCAGGCATGTGGAAAGACATGTGGAATGAAAAAAGTTAATAAATGCTGATAAGGGGATTTTGACCAAATCAATAAATGTTAAGTTTTTTTTTTTAATAAAAAATTTAAAAAATTCAGATTGGGATATTGAAACTCCCACGGGCTTTAGGGTTAAAAACCCCCTTTTATGTTAAGCAGAAGGGGGTTTTATGCTTTCTAACTACAGAAAATAAAAAGATTAAATCACATTAAAAAAAGAACCATTGAACAAACTACAATTATCTAACTTCAATCATATTAAAAAATAAAA